ATTATAAGTTTTGTCTCCATAAATAAATGTAAAAAATTTAACGAATGTGTTGGTATTTCATAGCAGAGCCCTGTTAATGTATGTATTTAATGTGCAATTAGCAATCGGAAAACTTACTTTTAATTGAAAGGTATGAATTAAATGAACATTGATAGTAAAAGCTAAATTTACTCAGAACACACAGATAATATGAGTTAGTGTGCATATGCATGTAAATCAATGAAAAATCGGTTATTATGAGGCATCACCGGCACAGCTCAACATTCTATTATTTTTGAGTTTGAAAATTATTTTTCAGAAAATCTAACTATTAACTTCCTTAGCATAATAATAACAATATACTGGCGCTTACACATATCTTAGTGCTTGGCCGAGCTTCTCCTTTGATTTGTGGCGTACGCCTTGATGTTGTTAGACAAAGGGGAGGGACGTACAGGTTTACGCTGACTACGAACGGCGATTGTATTTTTATGAGCTGTTTTTCATGGCAGAAATATACTCGGAGGTTTGCCATTGCCTGCCGAGAGACGACCGCTGTTAAGAAAAAACCTTTTTTCTATATTTTTTTGCGTTGTTGCTTTGACCGGGGATTGAACCCAGGGGCTGCGAAGTGGAAGCGCGCACTGCTACTCACTACACAACATATGGTTTTTATTATTAAGGGATTCCTGTAAAATATATGACAAAAGGCCCTATTTGACATGGGCGTAGCCAGGTAGGGGCAGGGGGTGCTTGAGCCCCCCCCCTAACTTTCAAAATTTCCTTATATATATATAAAATAGTACCCTGAAATGCCAGCTTAATAGGGTCGAGCCCCACCCCCCTAAATTTCATTCTGGCTACGCTGATGAGCGCAGCCTAGAGACTTCAATAAATTTTGTATCTGAGAGTAAATTTAGGCAATATTTAAAACATATATGCACTAATGATGATGATGAAATGTATGTATGTATGTATAGCAATAATATATCTATGTTGAAGAGCTGGACTGTGAGATCTCAATCATTCTTTGTTATTAATAACACAACGGTGCCACTTTGATAACTTTTCTCCGTATATCCCAGCTCTAAAGGTTTCATTTCAGAACATAGCTTAACAGTTTAGAGCGTTAGTACAAGTGGGTATATACTTTTTTAGGAAATTATCGATATGCGAGAGAGCTACATCGGTACATACATATAATAAGCTAGTTCGTGGACACACATATTGAATGTTGCCAATCTTCCATTTATCGAATGATGTCCTATTATAGCTTTTCTTTATATTTCGATTGATTTTACTTATTTGCCGGTATGCCCATTCACACTTTTTTTTTTCTTGTAAACAAAGGTATATATCTAGGAATAGCAATATTACTTACGTGATCAATGGCCTGCATTGAGAAGTTAAAAGTCATAAACTCGCAAACTGGTCGCAGGCCAGCCATAGCGGCACCGACAGCAATACCGGCAAAACCCATTTCGGTAATGGGCGTATCCACAACACGTTGGTCGCCATATTTTTTCCAGAGACCGCGGGATACCTGTCAGGAAAATAAATTATATTTAATAATATTCATGAAAAGTGAAATACAAAAAGATATGTAAACAAAGATCCACATGACGGATGCGTCCTATCAGTAGAGCCTAGGTTAGTACGAGTTGCGCACGCTGCGAAGTGATAAGAGCGCATGATAATTTTAAGCCAGTCCGGTACAGTATTTGTTGTTTGACCTTCCAATGTCTATTATAAGCTGCTTAGCTATCGACATGCTATGTATGTACATATTTAAGTCTAGTCCCTATTAAAACCACAGATTTTGATGTGACGTATACTGTTCACCGCGCGTGCTCTTATCGACAGCTATCCATAAAACTGTCACCAATAGCACACACATGCATCCTAAATGATTTTTTGTTGGTGTATTGGCGTTTACGTAACCAAGTTCAAGTTGACGAGTTCCAAGCATAAACGATGGAAAATATAATTTTTACTCGCCTTATAGGCTCCATCATATTGGGCAACTTCTTCACCCATAAGAAAAACGCGGTCGTCGCGTGCCATTTCTTCATCCAGAGCAGAATTTAAGGCCTCACGAACGGTCAACTGCTTCGCCGCAAGAGTCTTGGGCGACGTGGAGAAGGAGCGGCGTGCAACATTCGAAAATATCACTCTAACGGGCTGCATCTTTGTTCAAATTTGGTGTTGATACTTTTTAGTTTCGTTCGTAGTCGATCTGTAAGAAATTACAAATCAGTTCAGTAATAAGTTGTGTAATAATGCTCGAAAAAATACAATTTTCAGCGCGCACCGTGCCGTTAACGTAATGCCCTATGGCAGTTCAGGAAAAGTTCTGACAGCTCGCTAATCAGATAAGTGAAAGAAAAGATGAAAAAATTTCCAGTTGGAAATGTCAAAGCGTAGTGCTGCCACATGGTGAGATAATTGCATC